CCTTAAAGATTCCAGGTTGGGTAAATAGCAGGTTATTTCATTCTGCACATACCAGAAGACCCTCACTGAATGCTGGAACTTGTCAAGCTCATCCCCTACCCATGACTGCATTACTTTTTCCTCCAGCTTAAATATTACACTTAATACTTATCTTTGCAAGACTAGCTTCTTGTTTTCCATCATGAGTTCTCATCTTAGACTGTTACTCTCTTAGAAAGGCCTTCCTTCCTTGCCTAAGGCACACCTCATCCCTAGTGTCATACCAGCCTGGTTTTTTCCTTATGTCATGGATCATCATCTGAAATTACCCTTCTTGTTCTTTTATAAATGCTCATGATCATCACAATTATGTCAGCAACATGAAGCTAGCTAGGGATCTTGACTTATCTTTCTATCCTCAATTCTTAGCCCAGAGTATATATGTTCAATGACTACATAAGGCTAATGATAGGTATTATATTACATAAATGTGAAAGAATGGGGTGAAAATGAAGATTCCATTTACTTCGCTCAAAACCCTTTCCTTTAACACATTGTATGCAGGAAACGTATTTATACGTTTTACGTTGACTGGTAGTAGAGTGCGAAACACGTATTAATACGTTTTTTATAGACTAGCAGTAGAACGCGGGTAACGTATAAATACGTTTATTTTTATACTTTTTTATTGCTCTAAAGGGATGCTAACATGCAGATATACGAATTCCAAAGGACAAAATTTGGGTCTCTAACACATACAATGGTGAATTATGTATGTACTTCCAGGTATAACGGTAATCAATCTATTCAACTGCAAAAATGGCCCGCGCCACCTGTTAGCGCGCGATAAAAACTACCCGCAAACAATGTGTTAAATTCAATGAGAATAAGAAATAAAAGTTTATGACCCATGACAATAAAAACAAATTGGGTTATATTTCTTATGAAATACCCCCACTCCTGCTGTGATGTCCATCTTGCTTCAGTATCAGGCCAAATCAGACCAACTAGAATATTTACAAAGCATAAAAGACTTTGATCTTCAACCCAAAGAAACTTCCACCTACTTCCTCATTTATTTCAAATCCACTTCCAGCATAGCATCCTAGAGGTGGACAGAGAAACCCAAGAAAGAACATCTCTATTTTATGGCAAAGCATGAAATAATAAAAGTGAAGCAACGTTCAAATCAGAGTTCTTAACCTCTAAAGTTTGAGGGCAGAAAAAAAAGTTTAAGTCTCTAGAGATTTAATCTGCCTTTGGACACAATTCCAAATCATCTACACTAATAAAAGAGAAAGATGCAAATTGGCCGTACCTTCGTGCCACCCACCAGCCAATCAGGAGTGGGTATGCAAACTAATAAAACAAAGATGGCGCGTTAATTTGCATACACAGGCTCCAAGCAGCAGGGGGCAGGGCGGGACACAGGTGGGACACCCCGCTCTGGGCCTCTGAGCAGTGTGGGAAGGCGGAAAGGCGGATCTGGCCAGAGTGAAGGCCCATTCTTGCACAAATCTTGGTGCATCAGGCCTCTAGTATAAAAATAATGCTTTCATCCTCACTTGCCACAGCCTGCCTCACTGCTCACATGCCCTGTTGCTAACCCCACAGAAATGCTTCAATTACATGAAGTCCTTTGTCAGATTAGGGCACTGGCTCCTTATCGTACTTGGGCTTATGCCAAAGACATAAATTTTGATACAGATACTTTAGCCTTAATGCTTTAAGGCAGGGGTGGGAAATGTCCAGTCCGTGGGCCGAAATCATTAGGTCTGGCCCTGCCAAGGCATTAGGGGTGAGTTAATCAAGTGTTTAACCAAATATAGCATGTTAATTTTTAAACTGATAATTTTGTATGGCCCTCAAGTGATGTTATAAGTATACAAATGGTCCTTTGCAGAAAAAAGGTTCCCCACCCCTGCTGTAAGGTGTAGACCTTTTAACTGATGCTGTAGCTGTTACTATGGGACCAAAGGGAAGAACAGTGATTACTGACTGGACAGAGTTAGGGAAGTCCCAAAGTAACAAAAGATGGTGTGATCATTGCAAAGTCCATTGACTTAAAAGATAAATACAAAAATATTGGCACTAAATTTGTTCAAGATGTTGCCAATAATAAAAATGAAGAGGCACCAATACTGCTACTGTATTGGCACACTCTGCTGCCAAGGAAAGCTTTGAGAAAATTAGCAAAGGTGCTAATCCAGTGGGAATCAGGTGTGATGTTAGCTGTTGATGCTGTAATTGCTGAACTTAGGAAACAGTCTAAACCTGTGACAACCCTTGAAGAAATTGCTCAGGTTGCTATGATTTCTGCAAATGGAAACAAAGAAATTGGCAACATCATTTCTGATGCAATGAAAAAGGTTGAAAGAAACAGCATCATCACAGTAAAGGATGGAAAAACACTGAATGATGAATTAGAAATTACTGAAGGCATGGAAATTTGATCGAGGTTATATTTCTCCTATTTCTCCATACTTCATTAATACATCAAAAGGTCAGTAATGTGAATTCCGCCAGAACCGGTTTGGCTCAGTGGATAGAGCGTCGGCCTGCGGACTCAAGGGTCCCAGGTTCGATTCCAGTCAAGGGCATGTACCTTGGTTGCGGGCATATCCCCAGTGGGGGGCGTGCAGGAGGCAGCTCATCGAAGTTTCTCTCTCATCGATGTTTCTGGCTCTCTATCCCTCTCCCTTCCTCTCTGTAAAAAATCAATAAAATATATTAAAAAAAAAAAAAAGAAAGAAATGTGAATTCAAAGATGCCTATGTTCAATTGAGTGGAAAGAAAATTTGCAGAGTTCAGTCCATTGTACCTGCTCTTGAAACTGCCAATGCTCACCGTAAGCCCTGGTCATAATTGCCGAAGATGTTGATGGAGAAGCTCTAAGTACACTCATTTTGACTAGGCTAAAAGTTCATCTTCTGGTTGTAGCAGTCAAAGATCCAGGTTTTGGTGACAATAGAAAGAACCAGCTTAAAGACATGGCTATTGCTACTGGTGGTGCAGTGTTTGGAGAAGAAGAATTAATCCTAAATTTTGAAAATGTTCAGCCTCATGTTAGGAAAGATTGGAGAGGTCACTGTGACCAAAGATGATGCCATGCTCTTGAAAGGAAAAGGTGACATGGCTCAAATTTTAAAACATATTCAAGAAATCATCCAACAGTTAGATATCCGAAAAGGAATATGAAAAGGAAAAACTAAATGAATGTCTGGCAAAACTCACAGATGGAGTAGCTGTGCTGAAGTCTGCTGGCACAAGTGATGTGGAAATGAATGAAAAGAAAGAGAGTAACATGCCCTCAATGCTGCACAAGCTGCTGTTGAAGAAGACATTACTCTGGGAAGGGGTTGTGCCCTGCTTCAGTGCATTCCAGCCTTGGACTCATTAAATCCATGAAAATAAAAACATTGGTATAGAAATTATTTTTTAAAAAAGCACTCAAAATTCCTGCAATAAACATTGCTAAGAATGCAGGTGTTGAGGGATTGTGGATAGTTGAAAAAGATTATGCAAAGTTCCTCAGAAGGTGGTTATGACACTATGCTTGGAGATTCTGCGAATATGGTATAAAAAGGAAGCACTGATCAAATGAAGATTGTAAGAACTGCTTTATTGGATGGTACCAGAATGGCCTCTCTGTTAACCACAGCAGAAGTTGTGGTCACAGAAATTCCTAAAGAAGAGAAAGAGGCTGCAGTGGGTGAAATGGGTGGAATAGGAGGTGTGTGGGCGGTGGCGTGTTCTAAGCCTAGAACAGTGCTTTACCATTATCAGTGAGAACTGGGAGAGGAAGCTCAAGGTAGTGCTTCAGAGAAGTCCCTTGAAGAAGATGACTGAAGAAAAGGATGGCTAATGTTTAAGAACATCACTCTAACCATCAGTTACTGGTTTTAGTTGACAACATATATAAAGACTTACTGCTGTCATTCATTATCCATGCCTACACATATAAAATATCTTTTATAAAAAGATATTTGTACTTTCCAGATAACCAAGTGTAAGAGCCATGTACCAATATACATCTTTCGACTTAAATCAGAGGCATTTTTACTACTACTCTGTTAAAATGAGGGTTTTCATGCTTGCCACCATCCAGTGAAAAGTTAAGCAGCCTTACACATATGTAATAACTTAATCAATAAAAAAATTTTAAAAAAGTTAAGCAGCCTTTCTGTGGTGAGTAATAATTGTGTACAAAGCAGAGAAATATCCAATTATGTGACAACCTTTGTGTAACAACAATTTTCTTAAAATGAAAAAGAATGCTTCCAACATCAAAAGTAACTATCATCCCTAATAAAATAACCCTCCGAAACCTGGCCTCGCAACTAGAAAGGAGTTGTCAAACATCTGACAATTCATAAAACGCCATTATAACTAACTGAACTGAATCGCCCTATCAGTCAGAAGCATACTATCCCAAAGGCAATTACGATTAAAAACGTTGACACCGAAACCAAACTCCAGCCTTATGGAATAATGTACTGGCCCAGCTTTGCAAGAAAATTGGTTTTCACTGCTTTCTACTAGGTACAATACACGGACCTCCCCTACCCTGCACTCCTCGCTGTGCGCGAAGGCACTGTCGCTCAGGGCCGAGTTTGGGTCGGCCCGGTGGGAAAGGACGCGGCGCTCTTCACGAAGGCGGTAAACGAGTACCAACAGGGGGCTGTTGTGAAGCAAAGCATTTCGAGTTCGGTGCCCCCTCCTCCTGCGGGATGGTGGGCAGCAGAATGATGCCTCGCTGACATCAGGGACGCCGGGGCAGTAAGCCCAGGGCAAGGCTCCTGGCCAACCGCCCCCGGCCGCAAGGGGCCCTGGCAGCCGTCCCCGCGCGGGAAGGGAGAGTGTGAGGCCCGACAGCCCGGGGCTGTGAGGGGCCTCGCCCACCCGAGCCGCCACCGAGACCAGGGAGGAGCGAAGAGAGACCCTGGGCAGGGGTCTGCAAAGCCAAGGGCCACCCGCGCGCCGGAGGAACCCCTCAGCCCAGTCCCCGCCCGGCACCTCACCTCGGCCGGCACGGGCAGGTTCTCCGCCGCCGCCTTCAGCTCCAGCACCGAGTCCGTCTGCCTGTCGGTCAGCGGCGCCGTGGTGTCGGGTCTCCGATCCCAGAGGGCCAGCCTCTCCCGAGCGTCCGATTCAGCCGCTGCCTCTGGCAGCAGCAGCAGCGCCGCCTCCGCCATCGCCGCCGCCCCCGGGGCCCTCAGCAGCAGCGGGGCAATGGGGACCCCGAAGGACTGGCCCGGGCCACTTCCGGGAAAGACGGGCTTCCAACTAAGCACCGGCAGCAGGGCTGGGCATACCGAGAGGAACAACCTGAACCCGGAAGCACTTCCACAGTGTGTGGGCGGGACTGAGGTCAGGACAGACGTGGCTTTAAACCGGTACAAATATTTCCGGTTGCGATGTAGACGTGGAGGGAGAAGGCTGAAAAGACCCTGACGGAAATAGAAATGCCCCTACCGGAAGTCTTTTCCTCAACATCTATAACTTTATTGTTACGTATTGCTCACGACAGTTGTAGTAAGTTACTCTGCCGGCAGGGGCTTTCTGTGAGCTCCTGAATGTACTACTGCCTCCGCTCACAGCTGGGTAGTCTGGGTGGAGTGTGTGTACTGTGATTGCCTTGTTGACCTGTTGATAGTTTCGGCTACCTGGAACAAAACCACGAATACAAACATTTCCAACATCCAATAACTCAGCTGTTAGAAAACTAATTTATGAAAACATAAACATTCAAAGATTTGTGTGCATCGGATATCGTTACTACTACTATCAAATAATCGGAAACAATCAAAATGTCCAACATTGAAGAATTCGATCAATAATTCATGGCACAGACATGTAATTGGAATATTATCCTGCCATTTAAATCATGTTGTAGAAGGCTTGGAGCAAGAGGGACAGGGGGTAGGCTGGAGGGGGTCAGTGAGGGAAAAGGGACACATGCAATATTTTCAGGAATAAAAAATTATTTTTTTAAATCATGTTGTAGACTTGAACAACAAAAATACAATAGTACTGGATCATAGTTTATAACAATATAAATACTCGTGAGTCCATACTAATATAAATGATTGCATTAGTAAGTTGGGGAGAAGAGACGATCTACCTTAGAAAAATTCCAAAACAATACATATGGAAAGAATGAGGAAAATAGCAACAATTGTAGCAGGCAATATGTAAGAATGGATGCTAAAACTAGTGGGTGAAAGGGTGAGGAGAAACAGAAATTTGCATTGGACAAATGATCTCCCCAAGATATGTATTAATAGCAAGGGGAGCTATTAGCTTTACAGTGGAAACATCTGGCAGACATCACCTTAACCAAGTAATCAAAGTATACAGCATCATCATAAAACTCCTAACATGACAGATCGAGGACACAATATCGCTTCGGTGATATTCTTGCCAAAAATGAAAAACCACATTCTAAATATGAGAAAACATCAGGCAAATTCAAATTGAGGGATGTCCTACAAAATTCACCAGTATTCTTCAAAAGTGTCAAGGTCATAAAAAATTAGGAAAGATTGAGGAACTATTATATACTGGAGATGAGATATGACAATTAGATGCAATGTCGGAACCTGGATTGGATCCTCGAATAGAAAAAGGGAAAACTATAGAATAAAATACAGATATTCCAACAAGGTCTGTAGCTAGGTAATAGTATTATGCCAATGTTAATTTCCAGTTTTGATTATTGCACACAGTTATCTAAGCACACCTGGACTCTGTGCTACTTTTGCAACTTTGCTGAAGTCAAAAATTACCTCTCAAAGTCAAGAGTTAAAACTCTAATGTTGTAGAAAATATTTATGTTTGGAAAAATTATTGTGATATAATTAAGAAGAATGATAGTGTATGATCCTATTGCCCAAAAAAACACTCCCAAAACATTGACAGATGGTTAGGTAATTTTCTTCTTTTCCTCTTCCTCTGTCTCCTCCTCCTCCTTATTTTGCAATGAATTCTGCACTAAAGAGTAAGGTTTTTGTTTTAATTATTCAGCCCAGCCTCAGAGTATTGTTGCTCCATCACATCAATCCACCACTATTTGCTAAAGAAAGTCATCTGTAGATATGTACAGATATGTACATCTATCTGTTTAAGTACCTAAAACATACTTTCTCTTCTTCAGATCAGACTGACCTCTAGTTCCCCAAATCTCAGAAATGAAGTTAATCCTCCTGAGTTTTGTGATGACAAACATCATCCTTCAACAGCCAAATATAAACACACTCTCTCCCAAATGCATTTCCATTGCAGATTTTTCCAAATCCATGATCAATCTACTCTCTTCTAAAATTGTCTAATTCCTTAAAATATTTTTTACCAACTGGTGATTCGTGATGCTAAAAGTTTGCAATGCAGGTCATGGTATCCCTGGAAAAGATTTGTGCCAACGCTGAATGTTTAATCAGCTACTGGTACTGTGAGGTGAAATTGTTACCAGGGAACCCCCGGGGTGGGGGACTTGGGCTGCCTGTCGAAATGTCCAATAATGAAGGCAGGGTTGAATCATATAACGAGATTATTGAGAAGGCCAGCCAACCAAGAAGACAGGGAGCTTACAAGCATCCAAAACCTGTCTTATAGCAAGGTGCAGGGGACAGGATTATATTGGGGAAATGGACTAGGGTGAGGTTGGGAAAGGAATGCAATTGCATTGGTCCTGGGGGCCAGCAGAATTCAACTATTGCTCTTGGTTTTTAAGTGATGAGATGATGTCTTGGCTCCTGGTAGGGTCGGCCTGACCATGCTTAACGGCTCTGCTTGCTTGCTGGGTATAATGTACATTGTCCACAGCTGAATCACATCCTCAATCACTTTGCTTGGGATCAAAGGGAGTATGCAGGTGCACCAGCCTAAGAAATGAAACTCGGAAAAACTTAACCCTCTATTCCCATAAGTATATGTACTCTAGAATTTCAAATTGATATGATTATCTTTCAGATTAATTGAGGCCCTCTATATACCAGCTTATAAAAAACCCCATCCCATCAAATGAGAGAAGAGGGAGGTAGATAATGCAACACAATAGTGCCTGGATTATTCTTGAAGAATTGAGGGAGCTAAGGAAGAACAGCTGTGCCTAGTCACCTGCTGGCTCTGTAGGGGTGGGGACACGACAGGAGTAGTGAAACAGAGTAATAGCAGTTTTCATGGGGTGTTTTAATTTTGCAGAATACTAGCATAGAAGTTATATACATTTAATATATATCTATTTTAATTGATTTCAGAGAGGAAGGGAGCAGGAGAGAAAGATGGAAACATCAATGATGAGAGAGAATTATTGATCAGCTGCCTCCTGCACACCCCACACTGGGGATCGAGTCCATAACCGGGAATCGAACTGTGACCTCCTGGTTCATTGGTCAATGCTCAACCACTGAGCCACTCAGGCTGGGCATAAGTTATATACATTTAAACAATGTAGTCGTTGCTCAAAATATAGTAGAAACTGAATTTTCTGCTTCAGACTCTAGTGCTCTTTTCTGTATGGACAAATATCCTCTCTAATAAAAGAGAAACATGATAATTAACCGTAACTTCGCTACCCTTCCCATTGGCTAATCAGGGCGATCTGCAAATTAACTGCCAACCAAGATGGCATCCAGCAGCCAGGCAGCTGAAGCGAACAGGGAGGCTTATTTGCTCCAGTGACAGAGGAAGCCAGGTTCCCCGCCTGCCGCTGTGGCCTCTCAGCTGCTCTCTAAGAAACTATGTTGTAAATATAAAAGCTAAAGAAAACCCAGAAACCTGCTTTCAGCAGCCGAGGTCTCAGAGCTGGAGCTGAACCTCAGAGCTAAAGATGGCTCTCAGCTCCAGTGACAGCCATAGAAGGTAAATAAATCCCAGAATAAAAAAGAAAAAAGAAATAAAAGAGAGGTTGGGAGCTTCAGTCACCCACCAGCCTGAAAACGGCCCTCAGCCCCTCACCCAGACTGGCCAGGCACCCCAGTGGGGACCCCCACCCTGAAGGGGGTATGACCAGCTGCAAACAGCCATCATCCCCTCATCCAGGTTGGCCAGGCACCCCAGTGGGGACCCCCACCCCGAAGGGGGTGTGATCAGCTGCAAACAGCCATCATCCCCTCATCCAGGCTGGCGAGGCACCCAAGCGGGATCCCCACCCTGATCCAGGGCACCCTTCAGGGCAAACCAGCAGGGCCCCAACCGTGCACCAGGCCTCTATCCTATATAGTAAAAGGGTAATATGCCTCCCAGCACCGGGATCAGCAGAGCCGCGAGGCCCCCCGGCACCAGGATCAGCAGAGCCATGAGGCCTCCTGGCCCCTGGAATAGCGTGACAGGGGGCAGTGCCCAAACCCCATGATCGCCCTGCGGCTCTGTGTGTGACAGAGGGCAGGGTCACAACCTCCCTATCCGCCCTGCTCTGTTAGTGACAGGGGAAGGCGCCCCAACCCTCTGATCGGCCCTGCTCTGTGCCTGATAGGGGGGAGCTCCCCAACCCCCTGATTGGCCCTGCTCTGTGTGTGACAGGGTGTGGCGCCCCAACCCCCCCATGGGGCCTGCTCTGTGGGTGACAGGGGGTGGCGCCCCAACCCCCCAATCGGCCCTACCCTGAGCGTGACTGAGGGTGGCATCACAACTTCCTGATCCACCTTGCTCTGTGCATGGCAGGGGGGATCTCCCCAACCCCCTGATCAGCCCTGCTCTGTGGGTGACAGGGGGGAGCTCCCCAACCCCTTGATCGGCCCTGCTCTGTGTGTGACAGGGTATGGAGCACCAACCCCCCTGATGGGCCCTGCTCTGTGCGTGACAGGGGGCAGCACCCCAACCCCCTGATCGGCCGGCTCTGTATGTGACAGGGGGGAGTGCACCAAAGCCCTGATCAGCCCTGCTCTGTGCGTGACAGGGGGTGGCACCGCAACCTCCCCATCGACCCTGCCTTGTGTGACAGGGGGCAGCGTCCCAACCCCCCAATCGGCCCTACCCAGAGCGTGACTGGGGGTGGCATCGCAACCTCCCAATCCGCCCTGCTCTGTGCATGACAGGGGGCAGCGCCCCAACTCCCCAATCGACCCTGCTCTGAGCCCAACCAGGGGCTGCGGGGCAGGCACCTAGGGATTGGGCCTGCCCTCTGCCACCCGGGAGCAGGCCTAAGCCAGCAGGTTGTTATCTCCTGAGGGGTCCCAGACTGTGAGAGGGCACAAGTGGGGCTGAGGGATAACCCCCTCCCCACCGCCAGTGCACAAATTTTTGTGCACCGGGCCTCTAGTTATCTATATTAACAAATATTAACCCCCCCCCCACCACCACCACCACCACCACCAAAGAAGTACAAAT